TAATAATAATAAATTAAAGTATTATTAATAAATTAACAAAAAAATATTTATTAAAATATTTTAAAAACTTTATAAAAAAATCTAAATTAAAAATATTAAAATATATTTCTAATATATTTTATATACAGCTTTGCGGAAAGGATAGGAATGAGGTGACGCATGAGACACGACACCGGCGGTCCACACTCGGTCCAGAGAGACCGACAGACCGTAAAACCAAACACAAAGTACTTGTATAATTCCTAACTCTCACGTCGGTTCGGTCTACCTGTCGTCTTCGTCTCCACTTTCCTCCCCCCATCCCCCTCTCCTTCCTTCCTAAAAAGTATATTACTTTTAAACAAAAATAGTTACCATAATCCCATACAGAACCCTTTTGCTATACCCTCCATCATTCCCATTTACTGTTTTAGTTATAACCTCCTCCTGCCTCCATTCAAATGCGTTCCCTTATCCTCCCCTTTTTTTAATTCCGTTTCAGTTCCTGAAAATCATCCCTTTATAGGGTTCTCTCTTATTTTCGTTTCGGATTGTGGGTCTCTATTTGTTTTGTGGTAATTCTTGTGAATCGACGTCGTTGCCGTTGATGGGTGCGAGGTCATGGCAGACGGGGATCCTCTTGTTCGCCTTGTGGGGAAGATTAACGTTTGCCGCCTTAGCTCCTCTTAGGGTTCCGTTGTGTCCGAAGGGCACCATCATAGATTCGATCTTGGGGTTTCGGGACCAGAGCTTCCCTCTTCACCATGATTCTTTTGAATCTTTCGATTTCATTGGCGTTTCCGAGGTGCGTGCTGGTTTTTCCCTTTCTCCCTTCATTTTTTAAAAAATTTAATTTGTTGTCTTAAACATCTTAGATTTGAGGTCAGCTATTTGGGTTTAGGAAAGAACAAGTTCTGAATTTTGTTGACTAATTTTTTCATATTAGACAAACAAAATTGTAATATATATTTTTTAAAATTTCCTCAAAACCCTTAAATTTAGGCTTATAATTTGAAGAAATTTAAGAAAATCAGGAAATTAGGTTTTGATTATTGGAATCGCAGAAATGGTTTATTTAGCTGTTATTTATTCTAGAATGGGTTGTAAAGGGACAAAGGCTTGTGAGTCATGATATATTGCAGTTGCAAGATTTTCTTTTAATATATATAGTTGCTTTTTGGTTGTTTTTAGTACAATCTTAATGGGAACCACCTTGTGTCGATTTTCAGGGAGATGAGGTTTCATTGCAAAAGGCACTTAATATGGTTTACAAGAATTACCATGAATATGTAGCAGTGCTTTTCTATGCATCATGGTGCCCCTTCTCTAGGTCTTTTAGACCAAGCTTCTCTCTCTTGTCTTCTTTGTATCCTTCAATACCTCATTTTGCAATCGAGGAATCATCCGTCAGGCCAAGGTTCATAAATGAGTATCTATATGTCTAGCTGAATAAAGCTTTTTTATGATTTTATTCTTGTTTAATTGACAATGTTGTTGGTTGATTGCTGCAGCATACTCTCAAAGTATGGAGTTCATGGGTTCCCTACCCTTTTCCTTTTAAATTCTACAATGCGGGTGCGTTACCATGGATCAAGGACACTTGGTTCTCTTGTTGCCTTCTACAGTGATGTTACTGGTAAGGCCTCAAATTAGAATGTTAGAACGTATTTCTCTGCATGCAATGTGAATGCTTGACACAGTGCAATACACAGGCACACAATCCCGAGTATATGAATACTGTAGATTTTATCAACTATGATTTGGACTTGTCATTCATCGTAAACAGTATCTTTTATTCCTGTGGTGTCATTTTCAGTGAATTTATTAAAGCATCTAACATCAATAAATGGGTCTAGGTGTTAAGACTGCATCATTGGATAAAATATCCCTCGGCAAAATTGGACATCATTCAAATCAAGAGAAGCATAACAGCATTGAGCCAGAAACTTGCCCTTTCTCATGGGCAAGATCTCCAGAGAACTTGCTTCGGCAAGAGACCTATTTGGCCCTTGCCACTATTTTTGTGCTTTCGCGATTACTTTACCTACTCTATCCAACTCTGCTTGTATTTGCACAATCCACTCGGAGACGGTTCATTAATCTGAGATTCTGCAGCTTGTTGGAGCATCCTTTGGCCTATCTGAAACGAGCACAGCTGTTAAGTTCTCTAAAGGAACCTCACAAGAGAAGCAGCAAGAGAAGCAATTTGCAGGAACGGGCAATGAATGCCAGAGCATGGGCATCCAAATCTCTTGCCACGGTTTCCATAGGTGATGCCAGCACCAGCAAGGTGTGCCATTGAATGAATGTCACTGATCAATTCCTGGAATAGGGTGAGAGATTCTGATGGTTTCTATCCAAGCCTGTACAACCTCATGGGACCAGTACCTTTTTGTTTCAGATGTTAATGCAACCTCCATTGGGGTTTAATTCGGATCATGTCATTGTATCTGGACATTGCAATTAGTATTTTTTTTTTTTTTTTTAATTTGTCAATATTGTTTAGAATACAATTTCTTGACTTTTAGAGGAGAAGCTAGACCGGGTTGTGTATGTCTTACAGTCAAAAGACCAATTCTTGACGTACCAATTCAACTTTCCATGGCCATTTGCCTTTCTATAAATGCAAGCGTGTTGCATTCAATAACATGATCCTTTAGTACACTCAATGTGTCATCATTTTTCAAGTCTTATGTAAAATTTGCTAGCCTGCTGATTTGACTGTATTAAGAGGTTCCATTCAGCATTTAGAACCTGATTCAAAATCTTGCAGGAATGGAAAAGGGTATGCCGTATACATCCCGATGAAGTTTGCAAACTTTATAGGGGCATATGAGTGACATTGCAATTGCGGAATTGCAAGTCCTGATAATGATACTAGTTTTGATAAAATTGTGACAGATTATTTCAGAAGAAAGAGCAATCAAAGATTTAAGCAGGATCAGCGGTGAATATAACCTTGGTCAAAGCAGGAACTTTCCTACACTTTTTGTCTTTAAAAGCCATCTCCCTTGAGCGAAAAGCCACAAAGCACTTCAAAATTCTCTACTTCATATGCATAGATGATCAATAGGACTACAAGTGTGGCTGACCTTAGCTCAAAGGAAACCAGTAATCAAATAATGCATGGAAGAGTGATGGAACCATCAAAACATATCCCCAAATTGACTCAGTTAAGAGCTAGAAGTATTTAAAGCACTAAACATCCACAGCGGTCATATCTCTCTTCACAATCTGCAAATACAGAGTTCTTCGTATGTCAGCATAACACCATCATATTGACTCAAGTTTCTGATTCATGTATAAGGATATGCTGAAGAAACTTACTATTGCCATGCACAAACAAATAAAAGAGAATTTTAGAATTTCTTTTCATTACCTGTGATATGTATTGCTTAATTCTCTCACTTACTGGGCCATCTATAGCTCTCTCAGCCAGCTCATAAAAGACAGTATTCCCTTCAGGACCACTAACCTTCTCCTTCTGCAAATATCTACAAGAATATTCCAGGGACAGGGATAAACGCAGAGCTTTTGCTAATTAATTAAGCTTTGGAAATCAAAACTAGAAAAAACAGTGCATTGGATGATCACTACCTTTGCTGGGTAAGTGTCTCCAATGCCTGCTTGACATTTCCAAGGACTGGGTGGTTTTCTTCAGCTTCAGACAAGCCCATACGTTTCAAATGATGCCAGAGATTTTCTGCACAAGAAAATGCAGTTTTGATTATGAGAAATTATAAGAGAGGAAAATGAACACCTCCATTTATTGTGAAAATAAGAACCTTCTCTGGTGGTAACCATTACCCATGCAACAACTAGCCCTTAGTTAAATACAAATTCACTGAAATGATGTGAAGTCATGGATGTTGCTTTGACAAAAATACTTCAGCAAAATTCAATATAAATGAACAATGGAACTTACCTTCTGGAAGTTTACCTCCAGCAAGGTGCACAATACTAATTGCAACAAAAGCAAAACCAGTGAGATGTGAGGTGTTCACATCCTCCACATATTTCTTGTATATCTCAGCAGGCAGTTGGCTTATGATAACATAGGACTTGGTATCAAGACCTGGAAATTTTGATAGGAATCATATTTAACAGCCAAAATAAAACAAATCAACAGCCAACACACACACCAAACCCACCTCACAAAAAAAAAAAAAAAAAAAGAAAGAAAAAATAATTCTCACCTTGTGAGGAACGCCCTTGTTTTGTTGATGAAGGGCGTGATCTTTGAAGTTCCCTCAGTTCATAACCAAAAATGCTTGAAAGCTTTTCCTTAGCAGCATTTATAACGTAAGATGGAAGATTACGTTGTTGATAGTTCGCAGTAACCAGTTGTGTAAGTTCCTCCCTCTTAATTGGGCATCCAGAATTTTGGTGAGTTTTAAAAAGTACATAGCGAATTACTTCTGCAATAAGCTTGTCTATCTCCTACAAAAGGTAACCCCATTAGCCATTAGAATAAAGTGCAAAGATATCCCACGTATGCTGCCAATACCTGAAAGTGAAAGGAGAGAAATAAGCACCTGCTTAGATATGTCAAACTGTGATAAATCTTCATCAGCAACACTCATCCTGCATCAAAAGCAAACCAGTAAGGAAGCCTGTCTTAACTTGACTCGAATTTCAGGAAAACACTGGGGAATCAAAAGGACAACATTCTCCATTTACACACCTAAAATCTAGTTTACAGAAAGAAGCAAACATGAATTTGCTTTGGGCTGATGTATTAACAAACTTTAATTGTACCAGGAATCCCAAAAAGGAAACTTTTATCTGGAAATTTTCATAGGAATTTCATATCCCTTTTTATCCGGAAAATTTTCCCTCCAAAAAAGAGAAAAAACCTAAAAATCCCAAAACAGAAAAATAGTCTCTCACAACACTGAAACAATTTTGTAACCCTACGGCAAAAACCCTAACTTTAAGATTCCCACCTTCCTCTCTAAAAAACATCGCTTAAGCTATTTCACCAAATATCAAACAATCGTTGACAATAAAAAGAACAATACAAGTACACCACTCTGCAAGCACAGCCACGAAGCACCCAAAAAAACCAAAAACCAAAAAACACAAAACAGATGTCAATTTAGTCTTTAATGTATCGGAATAATAAAAGTTGGGGTGAGATTTGTGAAATTCACCTGACGCACGATGAAATAGTGCGGTTGTGTAGACTGTAGACGGCCGCCGGTGATGGTTTGGACCGGTTGTTCGGAGTCTTCAACACCTACCTCTCTGTTTGGCTGGTTGGAAAATAAGAGGAAAGATGAAGTGGATGTTTATTGTGGCGGGAAACACAGATGTTTCCCCTTCCCCTAGTCATGGCGATTAATATTTCGGAAAATAGTAAAAAGAATTAAATCAAAATAGGATAAATAAAGGGAAAAAGAAGGAAAAAAAAAAAAGAGGACTTTTCAATTTCTATTAAAAATTAATACAACTTTTTTGAAATCACTGAAACTAAATATATTATTCTATACATGTTTATCAAAAATATACATATACATTTATCTCTTTTTTTGGGTTTGAGATATGGCCATTGTAAATATAGAAAAGTTATGCTTACAATGTTTTTTACACAATATTACACACACTATAACATAGGCAATAGATCAAACGTTATCCTTTTAGAATTTTTTTTTTTAAATTTAAAAGATCATACATAATATTAAATGTATTTATTTATTTTATACACATTATATTATATTTTTTATTTAAAAATTATACAAAATATTATATATATTTATTTGTTTGTTTCACATCCATATTATAAAAAGCATATTTGTTGCAAATATATATATATTTTATGAAGCATTTTTGAGGTTCATAGAACAGTGGGCTAAGCTAACGGAGCATTTTAGGTAACATGCATCGAAACGTTAACGTTAGGCCTTAACTAGCAAATCATGTAATTCAAGGACTTTAACAATCACATAAACGAAGTGGGAGGGTACAAGATGAGAAAAAAAAAGGAAAAAGAAAAAGTCAATTTAGGGGCCAATCACGGAGCTGTTTCTAAGAAACTTAACAAAGGGTGTGTTTGGAGCGTGGAGCCCACACGATATCATTATCATTTACATCAAATCTAACTATCAAACAGTGGTCAGCGTATTCCAACTCAACATCACCCACCATATATCATGATGTTCCATTCCTAACTGATATCCATCCAACGGTGTTGCTTCCCCTAATCCC